GGCCCGTGGACGCATAGATGGCACGGGCCAACGAAGACCCATCTATGTCGTCGTGAAAACGTACCTGCATCCGAAATGGCAAGGTGGCCAAGCCAAAAACCACCCATGCCGACATGCCATGACATGACATGACATGACATGCTAATGTAACAACACGACATGACGGTTATCATTTCATCTCATTTCGCCCTCTCCATTATGGAGTTTACCAAAGTGTGTGTGCGTGTGCGCAACATCTAAATAGATGTAAAACTTCTCTTTTTTCTTTTTCTCTCCTTCTAAACAATGGTTGTTAAAATCAATGCAGGGGGGTGCAGAGCACAGTGGAAACTGCACCCAACGAAGCTATCCACTTGTGCTGGAAGCAGAGTCTGATCAACTCTGTGTACCTGCTATTCAATATTCAACTTTCATTTTATTTTAGTGTGGCACGGGGCTAAGCCGAGAACCCCAACCGCGTTGAATTTTATTTTGCTGACATGGCACAGGTCCAAGCCGAGAACCCTGGGATGATGACTACGTATCCTATGGCGACTTTCGATTTTTGGGACTATTGTCATGGTCCATGGTATTGTTTGTCTTCTCGGAGTACCTTCTATTGGTCGACAAATTCATCTAGGATTATTGTTTTCCTGACTAGTTTGCACGTTTAAGGACTCAGTTCCTGATGGATCACTTAAAAGATCCAATTTTGTCTAGTGTGTGTTTGTGTGTGTGTGTGTTTGCGTGTGTGATTCCAATCTGCTCACACACAACCCCCCGAAACACATATAAAAAAACACTAAGTAAAAAATGTGAAAGGCAACTGGGCTTTGAATTTCGTTCCCTATATTGGTTTTTGACTATCTGAACGACGTATGACTAAGGCAGTGGCCGTCTTTGATGTCCTGGCACAGCAACCGCTAGCGGCATGTGGTGTTGTCTGAAAAATTGGTGGTATACCCCAATCTATGGCCACTAAACAATGGGGAAAATATAGGCAAATGAATGAAAATGATGATTAAGCATCAAATTTCGAGCTAGCTTATTTAAAGCCAAACCCGGATTTAAATCCGGGGACTGCGAAATGAATAAATCTACCACGAAATATATCAAAATATCACCAAATCAAGGTGTCAACTGGCACAAAACATCATAATGCGGTGAGGCGCGAACCCAATGAAGACTATCTGAGGGGATGTGCTGAGTATATCTATCAATTAAGAAGAGAAAATCAGCACTGACCAATGGAACAAGATGAGTCTGAGCATATGGTACCCCGGGTACCCCAAAATTCATTAAAATGGTAATGCACTGGGTCACTGGGCTCTCATCCACCATTGAACAAACACAAATCCATAGCAGGAGTCTTTGTCATCTTTGTCTATTCGGAAATCTGAAATTCGCCTCGGCCACGAATTTCATAGCGTATGCGAAAAAATCACGAGTGGTGATTTAGCCATCTATAGATCTTCTATAGATCTTAAAGGTGGTCTTTTGATATATCCTGTAGCCATGTATCCAAAAAAAGGTTGATCCTCAGCAGCGTCCTGCTGCAAGGCCTTCTGGATCTTGCTGAAGCCAATCCTGGCTCGGATGTGATGCTGTAGCACTGCCATGGGGCCATGGATTGAGACCCATCTATAATAGATATGGATATATATCTGCAGTCTTATAGGATATGGATATATGGATATATGGATATATCTACAATATTATAGGATATGGATATTGATACCTATTGGATATGGATAGATAAGCGTAGGTCTGAACAGATATAGATAATTAGATATGACAGAACGCTTGGACAAGCCCTGAAAAAGAAAGGAGAGGCATGGTGCAAAGATCTTCAAAATCTTCATCTCTGAGAAAGATGAAAGAAGAACTTAGAAAGATTCAAAAAAACATCAAAAAAAACAATGTTCAACATCTTCAACAGTTTAAGCATAGTCGCTTAATCACCCAAATGTTCAAACCCTCGAATTTTCCCACTGTCTTTCCAGGCCACGGCAACCCTGGAAAAAGCGCCTCAAGTCACTCCAACTACGCCCTGGTCAGCTGAGCCAACGAGAATGGAAGGGGTGACCAACCCTGGGGATTTCATGTGGATATGACATGTTATTACCATTGCTGGTTGGTGGTGTACCTACCCCTCTGAAAAATATGAGTTCGTCAGTTGGGATGATTATTCCCAATATATGGGAAAATAAAAAATGTTCCAAACCACCAACCAGCATTGAATTTCATTCAATTGATGATGATATACATCATCCGGGGATTACAAAAAGATTACAAACAATCATTAAAAAAATAATATATAATTATATATATATATACCAAGTGAACGGGGAATTAAGATGGGGAGATCATGATGATGATGATGATGATGAAGATGGTGGAAATGGTGATGATGATTATTTTTCCCAATCAACATATGATGTATATTGAATTACGGGTGTGTCTGATCATAGGATTCTATACCCGATTTAATATAGCCATGAAATACTACCAAGGAAAATAGGAAAAACATGATGCTGATGTAACCACTAGAATTGGGGTATATAAACGGCGTGTATATATATATATATATATCTGTGTGTGTGTGTCTGTAGTCAGTTTCCAGACAAACGCCTTTGCCCTGGCAAAGTGCCGCCTGTGATCTGGTACTTCACATCATCGTTGTCCTGAGATCCACGTCATTGCACGTCCCACGTCCACCGCGATGACATGTGAGTCACGTGTTGTCCTGTCTGTGTACCTTTGAATCATTCCCGATCACAAAATCAACCCAGCCAAAGCAAGATGTTCAACGGATTGGTTTACACATCTATGGGAAACCATATGTATTTTTCATGAAACATGGGGCTATCCGGTAGATTTTCCCCTGATTTTCCCCAGGCAAAGCATGATGTTTCCACAATTGTGGCCATTGTGATGTGGCCCCGCCTTCTTGTTTCCAGATAGCTGCTGGAGAATCTCCTGGAGCCATCCCGGGATGACTGGAGGTGGTATATACCATCACCAAATGCTAGGTCTATTAAGTCTATTAGTTTACCACATACAATGATCCACATTAATCCACATTATAGAAATGAATGAAATGAATCGTATATGATTTGTATTGATTGGTCATGATTCACACCCCTGTTGATCATGTTGATCTATTGCCAGTTGCAAATTCAAGAAATATGAAACCACTCTCTCCGGGAAATTCCGCTGGCGACTCCTAACAATGTCCAATTGCTTTTGCTGGAACAGCTTGCAGGAAATGCCGCATGTTTTACCCCAGAGGAAGATCAATGGATTCATAATTGTGGGAAAATGTTCAGGAAACCATGGTTTTGACATGGTTTCTACTACCAAATACATAGCCACATAGCTGTTCTGTACAATTTTCCCTTCAACTCCAACATGGGCTACCATCATTCCAAGCAGCTCGTCCTCCAGGTGTTCAAACCTTGGCAATTCGCCCGCGGCCCCCCAAAAAATGGGTGGATTAAAGTTGGTTGGGCTCATCATGTCACTTTTTCCAGGAGAAAAAACATATTTTTGAGATTTGAAAAAATATTGAAAATGTTGAAATGGCTTGAAACGGGATGCAACCTTGAGAAAATATGGTTCCAAAAAAATGAGACGGATTAATGTCGTCAATTATTAACAAAAATTTGTGAAAGGGTTTGACAATGACATGTTTAACCTGTGCGAGTACAGTATATAAATTGGGTACCCTCTGGTAAACTAACATAGCAATGGAAAATCACCATTTTTAATGGGAAAATCCACTATAAATGGCCATTTTCAATAGCTATGTTAAATTACCAGAGGGTATCGGTATCATTCATTTGCTTTCACTTTCTTGGATCACTTGGCTGCCTGACACTTCCACGGGCTCATCTTCGTTGGTCAACTGCATCCTTTCGAGCCTTGCCGAAGCACAACGAGAAGCCATCAATAGTCCCATGTGTTGTCCCAGAATTGGCGGGAAAATATGCGTGAAAACAAGACCTTGTAGCTACTGGAAGGGCAAATCATGGCAAATCCATAGTTTGCTGAGATGTTCCCAACAAAACCAGCATTAAATGATTTTGAGTACCACTTTCCTCTGCCGGTCATTTTCTGAGCCCACCACACTGACTTGTCCTGCCGAGATTCACCCAAAAGATCGAGCAGTCAACTGGGAAATTGATCATCAAGATGGATGGTTGGACAGATGGAAATATACAGTGCGTATAACTATATCAACAATTAAAAACAGAAAGATTATCAATCACGACTGGCAGTATACAACAATCATCATCCATTGAATTTCATAGTTCAATATCTTAAAACAATTTCAAGGTGACAGGGTCCAAAACATGGTCATGGTCAAAAAAAATCAGGTGCCAATGGGTCCTTGTCAGGGATGGTATATTTCTGAATGAGCTTCACGTCCCGCTGCGAACGCTGTTGCTCCTCCATCTGGCTCAGGTGTCACCCGAAACATCGAAGATGCTCGAAACATCGAAGATGCTGCGGTCATAATTCTGAGTTCTCAATATCACTGCGGTCATAATTTTCACCAGCCATCATGTCATATCAATATATCAATATCAATATTAATATCAATAGCATACCGTATCATATCATATGAATATCATATCATATGAATATCATATCAATATATATATATAATTCAATATATATATATATGTATCATATCAATATCAAGTCTTCCTATTATCTTCGAAGTTGATGCCCACAGTTCGAGGTGACCTAGTGGCATTTCCCATCAATACCCCTCGGCAGTCCATGGCTAACGAGCTCGGGATTGGAGCCTCTCCAGGGGCTCTAGTGGGCGGATGATTCTGGAGGCATCCGTCAGCCATGATAGCCTTGACTTGATAAAACATACCGGCTTCAACCTTGCGGCTGTGATGAAGAAGTGGGTTGAAACCACGAAGCCAGCAAGTGATTTGAAGATATTTGAAGGCAATTTTTGACTCTTGCAGGACTTTAGAAGTTGCAACTTCGGCCAATCGCGTCTAACCAAACTGCTCGGCCTTTTGCCGCCTCACCGAATCTGCCTGAAACCTTGGACCATCCTGGACCATCCTGGACCATCGCCAAGCCAAAAGCACGGACCGCGCCTGTGAAATGCTGCAAAACATGGGTTCATTCTCAGGGCCTTGCATGGTCTCGAGAAACCTCAGCTGCTCAGCTCGGACGGCCCAATGTTGGGCCCAACATGCCCAATCGGGCAGGGTTGATCCATCTACAAATCATGAAAACAGGCATGGGCCGCAGGGCTATTTCTAGGGCTCCAGAACCCTTATCAAATCAAATGAAAATCCCATCGAAAATCCCCAGTTGTGAAGACTGAACTGAGTTGATACTTCGAAAATCTCTGACATCGGGGCCCTTCATCTGACCTCCCCAGCCGCTGGGCCTCGCTTTCAAGCGGAAGTTGTGCCACTCGCCATGTTGCTGCGCCAGCCTCAGATCGTTGAATCCAAGGTCGCTTCCCCAAGCGCAGCTGACAGCACCAAGTGCGTTGCCATAAATGCCCATGCTGGTGATATTCAGCAGTCTCCTGCTCCAAAAACGGACACTGGAAAACAGTTCACCTACTGTATCTGGCAGATACACTACTGGAGGTGGGGCTGCGGCCAAAATATATGTCACTACACATTGTAAGACTCAAACATCTGAAATAGCTCGCACTACTCATAAACTTATTTTTATAGATTCCGGTGTTTTTAGGAATGATCAACCACAGGAAAAATCGGAGCACCCTAAGGCCCTAAGTCTCCTCGGTGATCAGCACTCCATCCTCCTTCCGGGGCTTTTCCAGTTGCCTCCTGCAACAGGCAAGAGCTGTGGGTACTGATGCTGGTAGAGAATGGAACTGGAATAGGATGTCTTTTTATATGGTATCTCATGGTATCTCATGGTACCTCATACTTACCGTGTCTTACAACACATAAACATTGGGATATATTGTTGAACATGTTGGGATATGCCAACTATGCCTGCATCAAATATCCACCAGGATCAGCCCTGGCGCCAGCCGTGCCTTGTCATCACGTCTTCCAAGACTTCGGCCAATTTGTCCTTTGGGTCATCTGGAGGAAGCATGTCTTTCCGATGCCTCCAGTGGCTCCAGCCGGGTGAAGAGCTCAGCCACAGGGTCTTCGGATCTCTCGTGATCTCTCTATCTCTCTCTCTGTTGAAATCTGTGCGCGCATGTGCATTTAATTACATCTCATAAAACTCAAGATGGTCTAAAGTCGAAAGAAATTTCAGGATGCAACACATATTTCCATATGGAACAGAACAGGCAACCCCAGGACCTGTAGAGAATGTTTGCCATTTGCAGCAGGTCCTGCAGAGACACAGCACAAGTAGCCCGGCAAGACTCCAATTAAGACTTGACACAGCGACTAACCACAGTAGGAAAGCTGATCGCTCAAGACGAGCCCAGATTTCACTTCAGCATGTTTCATTCCGGACACCAACATGTTGTTTTTGGGGTCAACGCCCCGAGGCGGGCGTGGTTTTTTCCACGTTTGTGCTCTTTGGCAGTATACGTGTTTAACGCTCTTGCCGACTGTAAGATGACGCTACGGAAGACACTTTGCCCAACTTTGTTGCTGACGTCTTGCTACCTTGACCGCGAGGGGGGGTGGGGGGGGGGGGGGGGATGATAACGTTCCTTTCGACTGTAAGATGACGCTACCGAAGACACGTTGCCCAACTTTGTTGCTGACGTCTTGCTACCTTGACCGAGAGGCGGGGGGGGGGGGGTGATAACGTTCCTTTCGACTGTAAGATGACGCTACCGAAGACACGTTGCCCAACTTTGTTGCTGACGTCTTGCTACCTTGACCGGGAGGGGGGGTGGGGGGGGGGATGATAACGTTCCTTTCGACTGTAAGATGACGCTACCGAAGACGTTGCACAGAGGACGCCTCAATAAAAAGCTCATGATCTATGTGAGATCATGGCAATTTAGATTTGCACACCAGCATCAATACATCCAGACTTTGGGCAAGCTCTTCAAAACGAAGAATGCCGACTGAAAGAGCACTGAGGAAAAAAAGAATGCATTGAACCTCAAGCAGATGTTGCGGAATTGCAAAAGTTTTTTTTTGGCATTTTGACATCTTGCAGCAAACGTCAAAACATCATAGATCACAAGCACAAAATACTGTAAATTACAGTGTAAAAAGGTGATTTTTGATTCAATCACCAAGTACACAATTGTAGAAAACCCACGCCCGCCTCAAGGCGGTGTTCCCTTGTTTTTCCTTCAAAAAGCGAGGTAAAAAAACGCCATGTCTTCGTCACAGATCTTCGCCGAGTTCCCCAGCCAAAGTGGACATGCTCACGTGGGTGTTTTGCAAGGTGAAGTGGGACTCAGCCGCCCATAGTGTCCCATTCCAAGTTGGTGTTTGCTGTTGCCGTTTGGTTTTTATTTCTTTATATTACGAGTGTGTTCTTTCCGAGGTATCCTAAACTTGTAGCATTAATAATAGGGAAACCACACAGCTGTATCTTGTGATTTTGTCTAGGGCTAGTGGGAAATAACAGTCGAAAGAAGTTTCTGCGAACCCGGGGTCTTTTTCCATCCTCGTAATCAATTACTGCTATCAAAACCATATCAAAACCTATACAGTAAATCCCATAAAAACATATAAAATCCCCCATCACCACAGGGTAGGTTCCGCATGGGTCGTTCATCACGATCCAAGGTCCCCGAACCATGTACAAATCTGTGGCCAGCTCGGCCGCAATGGGATCTTGTGCCTGTAACACCGGAGGCGATTTCAAAGGCTTGGAGGTTCGGAGATGCTGTTCACTTCCGCAATCCGCAAAACCTTCCACTGTCGCTTCTTTTTGGCCGGTGGCATGCAACCGAGTGGGGCTCATTCAGAGTCCCCAAACATCATTGCATTCAAGACTATTGAAGCAGGCGGCCACGTTTTCCAGGCATTATGTACCACGCAATGTTAGCACATTAGCTCCGGGACACCTGAGACAATGTGAGCGACAATTTTCCCAATTGTGTAACGATAGAGCTATCATTTGGTCGTTGCGTATCCCGCATTGCGCGACCCCCCATTGAGCCAACCCACGATGGTGAAATCCAAAGGGTTGATGGTTTTTTATCCATCAGACCTGCTGCCGAAGCTGGGCCAAGTCGGCCAGTCGTCTACCCAGCAGGATGATCCGTCAAGAATTTCTAGACCTTTCAGGAGAACAATATATGCAATATGAACTAAAAATCTGGGGATTTTCTGAGATTGAGGATATCATGGATATCATGGCTATGTCATGCGAAAGCATGTCCTTGGGAAACTCGAAAGAAGTAGCTCCAACTGGCTCCCCATTTTTTGGCCAATATAGATGCCCATAGCTCTGAATCGCTCCCTACGAACATTACGCCCCATTGGATAAAAACCGGAAAATGGATGAACATGGATCGATTGGAGCATATTGGAGCATGTTTGGGTACGCCATCTTGGGGCAAAACCGAGACAATTACCACACTTTGGTGCCCAAAAAAAACAACCAGAAAAAAACAATCCCTGCAAGATTTCAGGAGAATCATCCTGCACAGCGGTGATGCCATGCGTATGCCCTTCAAATGCTGCTGGGCTGGGAGATAGGTCCAACGGCCATTTTAAGGGTGCCGATTTATTGAAGATACACCTACCATATAGAAGGCCTAGTTTAATCTAGTTTAGGGTCTTGAATTTTTCGTTAACTCAGCCATTTACTCAGCTGTCGCTGGCCAGTCAGTTGCTTCGAACCAGTTGCTTGTAGCGAAAGAGTGGTGGACCAGCCACTTCCTGGCACCGACGTGGGATTACCATCCCAAAATGGGAGTTGTTTATGATAGAATTACTGGGTTTCCCACATTCATTCTGAATATGCATGTGATATCATGTTGCATTACACAATTGGACAATGTAATCTATAACATAATGTAACAATGTTTTTTGTGACGATGTAATGTGCTCTAATGCAGCGTGCTGCCCTGTAAATGCAAATATGTATGCATATATGTATGCATCTATGCATGTAGTACGGTACGTACCTACACATGTATATAAACTAAATGTTTGCGCCTGCGCGTGGTAGTTTGCAAACACAGCATATACACGTACATAGGTACATGACACATTGTTACATCCCCTTAAGGCACCAACTTATTGGGACGTTCAACATAACCGTCTAACTACCAAAAGATGATGAAACACACCGAACCCTAGCGAGTGGCAAAATCCAGATTCGTTTGACCAAATTCACCCATTTTTTGTGGTAGTTCATCATGACCCCACATTTAGATACATTTAGTGCATTTTACATCAAATAAAGTGTCCCGTTGCACGTTTATCCCATTGAAACATATTAAAACCTCCATGTATATAGGGGGTTTTCCCTAATGGTCATCCCAATCCCATAGGATCCATGTATGCTATATATAGTAACATTTACCTTCAATATACCCCCAATGTTAGCATAAAGACCATACATGGATCCTATGGGAATGTTTGGTGGTTCATTCCTTTTCACCTGTCATTTGGCCGAGTTTCGTAAGCGAAGCCCTCGCACAAGCCCAGTAGCTGGAGCCGTCGGAGGTCCTGCGATGGGGACATCTCGTCGCGGAGATGCGGATGGAATGGTGTACCATGGGGATCAAGTACGGAGGTAGAAGAAACAAATGGGGAGCCTGCAGAAATATGGAGAAACCATCATCATGAAAACCAACCTGACAAGTTCGGCGAGTTTGGGATAGCTACCCTAAATAAACCATACGTTAGAGGTCGATATAATTTACCCAGACCATCGGATGCAACTGCTTGGATCGTCATAAGCCAATTTTTCATCAGAGGAAATTTAGAAGTCCATACTTCCAAGTTACGGACTTTCAAAGCAGTCTCACAGCAAAGAAGTCACACAGCAAAGAAGTCACACAGCAAAGAAGTCACACAGCAAAGAAGTCACACAGCAAAGAAGTCACACAGCAAAGAAGCCACACAGCAAAGAAGTCACACAGCAAAGAAGTCACACAGCAAAGAAATCACACAGCAAAGAAGTCACACAGCAAAAAGTCACACAGCAAAGAAGTCTCACAGCAAAGAAGCCACACAGCAAAGAAGTCACACAGCAAAGAAGTCACACAGCAAAGAAATCACACAGCAAAGAAGTCACACAGCAAAGAAGTCACACAGCAAAGAAGTCACACAGCAAAGAAGTCACACAGCAAAGAAGTCACACAGCAAAGAAGTCACACAGCAAAGAAGTCACACAGCAAAGAAGTCACACAGCAAAGAAGCCACACAGCAAAGAAGTCACACAGCAAAGAAGTCACACAGCAAAGAAATCACACAGCAAAGAAGTCACACAGCAAAGAAGTCACACAGCAAAGAAGTCACACAGCAAAGAAGTCACACAGCAAAGAAGTCACACAGCAAAGAAGTCACACAGCAAAGAAGTCACACAGCAAAGAAGTCACACAGCAAAGAAGTCTCACAGCAAAGAAGTCACACAGCAAAGAAGTCACACAGCAAAGAAGTCACACAGCAAAGAAGCCTCACAGCAAAGAAGTCACACAGCAAAGAAGTCTCACATCAAACAAGTCACACAGCAAAGAAGTCTCACAGCAAAGAAGTCACACAGCAAAGAAGTCACACAGCAAAGAAGTCACACAGCAAAGAAGTCACACAGCAAAGAAGTCACACAGCAAAGAAGTCACACAGCAAAGAAGTCACACAGAAGTCACACAGCAAAGAAGTCACACAGCAAAGAAGTCACACAGCAAAGAAGTCTCACAGCAAAGAAGCCACACAGCAAAGAAGTCACACAGCAAAGAAGTCACACAGCAAAGAAAGTCACACAGCAAAGAAGTCACACAGCAAAGAAGTCACACAGCAAAGAAGTCACACAGCAAAGAAGTCACACAGCAAAGAAGTCACACAGCAAAGAAGTCACACAGCAAAGAAGTCACACAGCAAAGAAGTCACACAGCAAAGAAGTCACACAGCAAAGAAGTCTCACAGCAAAGAAGTGACACAGCAAAGAAGTCACACAGCAAAGAAGTCACACAGCAAAGAAGCCTCACAGCAAAGAAGTCACACAGCAAAGAAGTCTCACATCAAACAAGTCACACAGCAAAGAAGTCTCACAGCAAAGAAGTCACACAGCAAAGAAGTCACACAGCAAAGAAGTCACACAGCAAAGAGGCCTCACAGCAAAGAAGTCACACAGCAAAGAAGTCTCACAGCAAAGAAGTCACAAAGCAAAGAAGTCACACAGCAAAGAAGTCACACAGCAAAGAAGTCACACAGCAAAGAAGTCACACAGCAAAGAAGTCACACAGCAAAGAAGTCACACAGCAAAGAAGTCACACAGCAAAGAAGTCACACAGCAAAGAAGTCACACAGCAAAGAAGTCACACAGCAAAGAAGTCACACAGCAAAGAAGTCACACAGCAAAGAAGTCACACAGCAAAGAAGTCTCACAGCAAAGAAGTCACACACAAGAGCAAAGAAGTCACACAGCAAAGAAGTCACACAGCAAAGAAGTCACACAGCAAAGAAGTCACACAGCAAAGAAGTCTCACAGCAAAGAAGTGACACAGCAAAGAAGTCACACAGCAAAGAAGTCACACAGCAAAGAAGTCACACAGCAAAGAAGTCACACAGCAAAGAAACACAGCAAAGAAGTCACACAGCAAAGAAGTCACACAGCAAAGAAGTCACAGCAAAGAAGTCACAGCAAAGAAGTCTCAAAGAAGTCACACAGCAAAGAAGTCTCACAGCAAAGAAGTCACACAGCAAAGAAGTCACAAAGCAAAGAAGTCACACAGCAAGAAGCAAAGAAGTCTCACAGCAAAGAAGTCACACAGCAAAGAAGTCTCACAGCAAAGAAGTCACACAGCAAAGAAGTCACAGCAAAGAAGCAAAGAAGTCTCACACAGCAAAGAAGTCACACAGCAAAGAAGTCACACAGCAAAGTCACAGCAAAGAAGTCACACAGCAAAAGTCACACAGCAAAGAAGTCACACAGCAAAGAAGTCACACAGCAAAGAAGTCACACAGCAAAGAAGTCACACAGCAAAGAAGTCACACAGCAAAGAAGTCTCACAGCAAAGAAGTCACACAGCAAAGAAGTCTCACAGCAAAGAAGTCACACAGCAAAGAAGTCACACAGCAAAGAAGTCTCACAGAAAAGAAGTCACACAGCAAAGAAGTCTCACAGCAAAGAAGTGACACAGCAAAGAAGTCACACAGCAAAGAAGTCTCACAGCAAAGAAGTCACACAGCAAAGAAGTCACACAGCAAAGAAATCTCACAGCAAAGAAGTCTCACAGAAAAGAAGTCACACAGCAAAGAAGTCACACAGCAAAGAAGTCACACAGCAAAGAAGTCACACAGCAAAGAAGTCACATGGATACACCAAAAAACTTCGTTGAACCTGTAGTATTGCATTTGCACCTTTGCTTGCAGGAAGCATATCCTGCTTCTGAAGTAGCCTTCAATTTACCCATCGCTGTTAAATCATGCATGCCCTTCGAATGCAATTGTCCTAACATTAACCAAAAAAATCCTGAGATGATCCTAGAACAGAAAGTATCGTGCTGTTTTTGCGCCTTTTTGGGTTCCATCATGTGAAAGGGTGTTCAGAATTTCAGGCTTCAAGAGGTTTGAAGGGCAGACAGGCCAGGACCGTCATCGCCTTTTCCAGCCTTCCTTTTCTGAGGCAACGGCAGATCCGTTGAACATCCACACGAGTAGCGGTCCTGCAACCTGCGCGAACAGCGACGCCGCTGCGAAGCCAAACCAATCAGGTGGCAGAAATCGATGAAGACCTGGCAAAAATGAATATCCAGGGGCCAACAGCCAACTGCATCTCTGGTTGGTGGGGTCGCTGTTATGTTTCAATCATCCAAAAGTCACTTGGGATCAGCCGGGGTAGGATGAGACACTTGAAAAACACGATAAACCAATTTAAGAAAGATCACACCACCAACCAACCAAACAACCAACCTGCCTTTGTTGGGTTGAACTGCTCCCATGCGTCGAGTTCCTAAAGCTGCACATGGAGTGATGGAGTGTGGCGTGGTTGTAGGACCAACAGAACACAGCTGTTTACGTGACAAAAAACGATGGAAACTAAACTCTATAAGAATGAACACCTGTCATGACCATGAATGATTTTGATTTACATACATGTATGTAAATCAAAAGCCCTTGGACAAGATAGATGAATCATGGAGTCGGCAGCGATGGCTGGCTAATGGAAGAAACCTGATATAGCGAGGCGGGGGGGACAAGCCGACACTCGGTGTATATAATAGAATCATACATACATATAATATACACTAGTTAATGTCTGAATGATAATTTATAATATATACATATATATATATTATACATATGCATGTATATATATATTGCATATACCTATGTCTTGGTATATATTATATGTACATGTGTGTGTGTGTGCATGCACAATGAATTGCAATACCTTGAATATTGATGAATATTGTAGGTATGGCAGCATCGGTGTCTCAAGTTGCGGGCCCAACAAGCTGGGCCCAGAACCCGGTACCCTTTTTTTGCCCGTCTGCAACTGAGGAGCAGCAGCTGCATAGTCCCAGGGGAACAGATGATGGTAGTCATGCCAACCTTCACCCAGAGACAGCAGGGAAACGGCGATGCTCACACGTGGGCCATGTCCGTCCGCAGCCGGATCAAACGAATAAACCTCGGGGAAAATGACCACTGGGAAGCCATGAGGGACAGGCTTGAATCATCTTGAATCAAGGAGTTGGAACAGGGGACATGCCCAGAACACCAAGGGGCGTCATCGTCACGCAGCTCCCCATGAGCAATCGAGTTCACCTGGGCGCTGCACCCGAGCCCGTTGGATCTGGTCACATTCTCCATGTGGAACCCCGAAGTGGCCATGTTCGGACATGCACTTTCCAAATGTCAAAATGATTCAAAATGTAAGGACTGTATGACTATAATCATCAGTATAGCACCCGGCAAAGTGTTATATATAATATATATATACATACATATCTATATATATATATAAATTACCAGGGGTCTCCATATGTTCGTTAGTTATCCCGTAGAATCCCCGTCAAATGGACATGTTGTAATTGTAGATAATCCATGATAATCCTATAACAACCTATAAAATCCCCAAAGTGTAGATGTTCCCCACATTGGGGGTTCGGAAAATGGATCCCCAAGCCGGGCCCCAAGGTTTCAACACTAAAATGATCTATATAAAAAACTTGGGTGATTTGGGGGTACCCCCATGACTTGGGAAACCTATGGAAACCTCCACGAATTTTCATCCCATCAAATTCCAATCACCAGAGGCCACGTTTTTCTCAGCCCAGGTGACCGCAAAGGTGATATGCTGCACCAGCGCCCAGCGCAGGGCGCCGGCGACGAAGAGGCCGCAGAAGGCGTCGGACCAGAGGGAGCAGAGCAGGGTGGGAAATCCCAGAGACCAAAGCCTCTTGGAAATGGCTGGGAAATGGCTTGGAAAAGGGAAGTTTGAACTTTTTTGACATGATTCGAGATATGGAGGGTTTCCTACGTCATGTACCCCCAAATCATCCCTACGTCATTCATGACTTAGCATTGAAACCTATGGTGACTCGGGGATCCACCATTTTAAACCACCAAATGGCTTTGGAAATGGCTTGAAAATGGACATTTTAGGAGCAAAGTTTCCACGAATCCCAGGAACTTTCGGCTGATTTTCAGGGGATGTTTGAGAAAGTCATGGCTTTTGAATAAAGCAACATTGGTCACAAGCTGGGAGGCTTGTAGCGACCAAACAATCAGATACAAACGGGGCAATGTCAAAATGCACACAGAATCTGCGAAAGAAATTGGAATAAATGCATAAATGCATTGGCTCAATTTGCATGATGGGAGATGCATACAAAATCATGCAAACATCCATACATACACAGGTGCACAACCAATCTCTTCCACAGACATTGATTATAGATACAGCAACCCCAAAGAAAGGGAATGTTGATCAATTATCCCCAACCACCAAGCATCAATCATCAAACTATCCAAATTCCTTGACCATGGCCTTGACACGCTTGACATGCGCCAAGAATCGTATCCCACCACACGCAGTGGCGATCATGAAAGTGCACTACTGGACTCAGGGCATTCCTTGGTCAAGGCATGTGGGGCATGTGGGGCACAATTTCATTAACACCATTTGACACATCAATAGTAAAACATCGTAAAACATCGTAAAACGCCTAAAGAATCCTGAAGACCATAGGTTTTCTGCAAATCACCAGGGGTTTTCTGTTAAAAATCTTCAAATCAACCGACCCTAGTGGCCCTAGTGACTTAGTGATCTCCAAAAGTGGGTAGTTTCGGAATGATCTCCCGAGGCCGAAGCTGACCAAGCTGACCCCTGATAAGAGAACAATAGCAATGTGGTAAGCCCAATAATAAACCTACCATTTATAGGTTTAGACGTGTTTAATCACCCATTTCTGGTGATTTTGGTGAGATTTTAAGGTGATTTTTTATTATTGGGCGTAAACATTATAAACAATCCTCACTTTGTTGTTTATTGGGCAGACATCCACTGGGGATTGCCAAGGCTCACTACCTTCCGATACTCCACTGAGGGCAGTTGGAACTTCCGCGCGGCGAAGAGCCATCCGATGTGCGCGTGCCAGAAGCCCTTGGAACGGTCATGAGGATCCCAATAGGTATCCTTGGCTGGGACGAATCACTGAAAATTATAATGGAAGCCGCTCAGCATCTTAGCATGTCAGGTTTAGAGGGCTCCCAAAGAATTCCGTTTTGCTGCCCAAAAAAAGGCGGGAAACTGCACAAGGTCACAGCCCAGCATCGCTCGCCACGTGATGCATGGCATGGGTCAGGGCCCAGCCTTCGATCGGTCCTTGATCTGCAATCGAAAACATCAGCATGAGAAGCGTCCTTGGCGGGGAATCGTTGAGTTTGCACATGACATATATAGATATATCTAGTACATGGGCCTCCTGTTGCGTGCAACAGAGAGCCATAGATATGCAAGTATATGCAAATATTTTTTACATGTTAATCTTGAATATATATATATACCGGACGCAGACACACACACACACACACTGTGGGCATACACACGCATATGAATATATAGTATTCTATATATATATATATGTGTGTGTGTGTGTCTGTGTGTGTGTATTTATTTAGAACTCCACGAATAAAGGAAAACATGTACAAATGCTCATGTCTTTACCATGTTCTGTGTACTTCATGTACTATACTATATATATGTATATATATGCAATCATATCATATAGATAGATAGATAGATAGATAGATAGATCGATAGATAGATAGATCGATAGATAGATAGATCCATGTGTGCATGTTTGTGTGTCTGAAAACTTGTGGTTAGACCAACGCAAGTTTATGTTCAAAAAGTTTCACCATGTTTCACCAGCCACCGAGCATCTCCAAAAAACCACTGGCCTTGTAGGATCGATGGGTCCAATATCTATGCGCCCCAGCAGTGACTCCCAGGCCACTCACGGGCCAGAGCAATAGCGCCAGAGCACCTGTCTTGGCATCGACCTGTCCCCTGAAACCTGAGCTGCCGACGATGGATTTGGCATGCGAATCATGGTTTCTGATGATTTACCATCTGGTTATGACTAACATAGCCATGGAAAATGGTCCATCTGGTTATGACTAACATAGCCAACAGTCGTTGACTCGTTGACCCCACTTTGCACTGGCTACATCTTGAACTTTGAAAGGGGCTGAAATTGATTTCAAACTATGTCAACTTCATTGGCCCTGTGATACCTGCCTGTGATTGCCATATCAAACCCCTGTCCAGGCCCTTCCAAGGAGCAAAGTCCTAGGCCATAAAGTGCCAGAGCGTGCTTCAACGGTATGCCCACAGCTTGGGCCAGAATTCGATTCGACCACATCTTGTACAAATATTTCCTCGGCGGTTGGGAAATGGTTCAAGAAAAGAATTAAGTTAAGTTCAATCCTGTTTTTATAGAAGGAGCTCAAAGATTGAAAGATTTGGAACCCTTGGCACATGGGTGTGTTGGCATCCAATAGAAATCTGCTCTTTCCACGACATGGGCATCGTTTTTTTTCGGGGGGCATCGGTCAAAACATGTCAAGACCCTGATGCCATGGTTTCAACATCAAAAATCTGGCCAATGGAGGTTCATCCTTCTTCTTTCCGGGCAACACCAATGTTTCACAACATTTGTCATCCATCCTCTTAAACTAACATAGCTATGGAAAATCACCATTCTTCATAGGTAGATCATCTATAAATGATTTTTTGTCAAAGCTAATTACGTCGGTTTACCAAAGGGGAACCCCTTCGCACCGCCTTTTTTCCATCGTCTTCTATCCTTCGCCTGGTCGACTGCCAGGTCAATCGCGGGCGCAACGGTCGCACGGATCGCAACAAAAGGAGAACCGTGCAGGAAAATAGCCCTCTTTTCACTACCTCCGGTGGCTGCTCTGAACAGGTCAAATTGTGACTTGGGTATTTGTACAAATCTTGATGGATGAAAGTCATAATATGATATAATATGTATGTATACCGTATATACGCGTATAATTATATATATAAGTGTGTGTAGATACATACATACACATGTGATATGTGTGTGTGTGTGATGGATATGATATCTATAGCATTTATAATATATAATGTACAATAGTGCACACTGATATGTATAAATGCTTAAACTATACGCATATCGAACCGTTTGCTCAGACGAGCGCCAGTCTTCCGGCTTCGTTCAGGAAAACCGGAAAGTTCCAATTATATAATCATTGTTAATCATTATGTATACGATATATATATATATATATCCAATCTAGAAATTTGGATCCGAACCTGAGCTTGTTAAAGTACGTGACACATGCTGTGTCCCTATGCTAGTTTTCTTTATATAAGTCTTCCATACCCGACTTTCCGACTTTCCCACTGAATCTCCCTCGGATTGCAGATCATTGCACACTGCAGAGGGAGCAGAGTGGAGCGCTAGATCCACAGCTGGATTGAAGGGTCTGACCAGTCTGACCTCTCTCAATCAGCTGCAAAGTTTCTTCACAGCTCAGTTGCAGCTGGTCATCGCTGCTCTGCTGAGCTACTTCGAGGAAAAACTTTAAGGAACTTCTGATCTTCTTCTCATCCTCCCCGACCAAAGTCTCAAGTTTCCTCCCCAGTTTCAGCTGCTGTTGGAGCACCTCCAAGATCTCCAAATAGTTCTTTCGCAGGTTCACCCCGTCCTCCTGAAAATGCAAGAAGGCCAGAGCTTCCTCATGAGAGCGGATCGCAAAAAATTGGTTCTTGGGTGAACCACACTCCACGCCATTCTCCACATATGGCGGTGTTGGGAACCTGGGATTTGCATCGGCGGGACCATAAAAACAAGAAATAATCAAAAAAAAACATCATTCAGCAAATCTGTCCATAAAAATATTTTTTAAAAAAAAACATGAACAGTTTGAAACAGAACTTCCACTGGCAAATCCAGGGAACACGAACCAGATCCAATGACTCTTCTTCTGCCCTGCTTTCATCTCCTCCAAAGCCTTGCCATAGGACGTCCTGTGTCGATCTGAGAAGCGTCGGAGGTTGAACGGATCGTCACTTTCCAACATGGCCGAAGGATCCGGTCCGGGCAGCTCTGGGAAGAAGTGGATACTACTAACGATTAATCAATGGGTTGGTTTAAGGGAAAATCTTAATCGGAAACCATGGTTTTTACCATCAAATAAAAAAGGCTTTCCTGTAAATATTCCCATCATCCAATTCTATGAATTAATGATGCTGGTGGTTGCTGTATGAATGTGATTGATCACTTAGTCTGCCGCTTCAAAATGCAGCAGTTGCATGGCACTGACTAGTGGGAATCCCATGGAAATCTCACGTCATGTGCAAGTACCATTTGATCCTGCCAAGACATGGCATTTCCACTTCCTGGGTCGCTGAACCAGCTGATGGCCACATGAAAAGCAAGGTTGCTACTTACATTCTGAATTTTCATTTGGTTCATCTTCCCAATTCCTGCCGGGAAAATGTTCCCTGTGTGTTTTGTTAGTTCAGGTTCCCGTTTTTTTTGGGGGGGGGCAGTGTAGTGAATTATTTGTTTTATATCTTATATATTCGTATATATGCGTTATAAAGCGTCTGGTTGGCAACCAGACCTGGCAATCGATACAACACCATGGTTTGACGGAGAAAAAAACACGGGTGAGACCCTGTGAATCGTTCACTATCAATATTAGTACAGTATATGCATGTATGTATATGTATGTCATACTATGTATCTCTGTTTCTCTCTCTCTCTCTCTCTCACCATTACTGATATTAAGGTCTAGGACTGTCATCCCCATGCATGATGGTCTACATCAACTTTCTGAGGGCCACTGCAATATTTTCGATTCTCGTGGCAATCGGAATGACAAAGCAAACCTAGCTCGATACACAAACGAGACGTGTTGCCTAGACCAACACAGGGTGTCATGATGATGGTCATGAGTCATGACAGTATTCTTGATCATGATGGTTTGGGATCAAAACTGCCACCCCATCTGAACTTAACTGTCAATGAATGGGACATGCAAATCTATGTTGTTTTGGGATCAAATCGGGCACCCCAACTACGGTTCCTTGCAACGCCCGGGCAATATGAGGCACCCGGCCATAATTCTACCTGACTTGTAGTAGTTTTGCAAACCTTGAAGACTTGCCAGTTGTCATAATAATATACCACATGAGAAAATAATCTCTCCTCTTTGTATGACTATTGTCTTATTTTCGATGATTTGGAGCCCTATTTTGATGGTGCACATTGAATAGCCAATGTGCTAAATTTAAACCACTGATTGCCACAACAAAACTTTAGTCCGTTTGGGGTGCTTCAAAATTTGAGCCTTAAAGTCCAGGGGTTGATAATTACGTTCCCATAGAGCTTGCTGTTTTGGGGCAGGGCCCATTTCAGAACATATAACTACAAATAAAACACATAACTACATCACTGTAACTGGAACTATATATCTATAACCACTCAAATATCAGTATACGTACAAGCATAACTATAACTATAAATATATAAAGACAGAATGAATCATCTCCAATTTCAAGATTCTACTTATCTCCAAGTTTGTATATATAAATATATATATATATGTGTGTGTGTGTTTTTTTAACTTTCTATTTATATAGTCATATAGTTTTACTACTGTGACAATCTCCAAGTTCAGTCCGTCCAAGTTTCCGCCATCGCCAGGCACTTCCCTCGCGCCGCGGAAGACTTCCAGGCTCCGGCTTCGGTGCCATGGCGATGGCGGCTGGGGGGAACCAACTGATCCAACTGGGCTTTTTGGGCTTCAACAAACATCACTGGGCTGGGGCATCACCTTGAAATCTTCTTGTTTGGAGAACTTCAAATAACTTCAAGATAGCTGATCCAACTAGGTTTTTTGGGGTTCAACTTAAACATCACTGGATATCAGGTGATGTTAAGATCACCAAAATCTGGGGACTTCTTGAACTTCTGGATTGATGAATATAGCAACCCAAAAAAAAAACCGATGATGCCCTGGCAATGCCCTGGGGTAAACAGCTCCGAAAAGATGTGGATTTTACCCTGGGTTCAACCCCATTCGGAGAATGATCGGAAAAAATGGTGGAAAAACTCCACATCTTAGTGTACCCAAAAGCGTATCCAAACGCGTTGAACAGGCGGATTGTTTTTCGATGTTTTTCACAACCCCCCTCTTCGATGGATTTTTCGAAGCCCAACTCTTGGGCAGCGAATGTCTTTTCTGTGCCCCTGATGGCTTTCAAAGTCGCCCATTGAGGTGCTGAATTTAATATAATAACATAGTATCACTATAATAATCACTTAGTAATAAAGATAATCTAATGTTAGTGATACTATAACAATCTAGTAGTCGCTCATTGAGTGATTAAGTATCACATAGTATCACTAACTAGATTGGGGCCAGAGATGGGGATAACTATGGATAACTGCATTGATGGGGATAGTGCGCAGATATTGTCGTGGAGTGGTTTGGTGGGTTGCCTGCCAATTCTTCATCTTCCAGAGATACTTATGATACTTTTTGTAAACTATGTGATGCATGTATGCAGGGTAACCGTCCAAATGTACAGCTTCTGGCAAACAGTGAGAAACTTTCGTGGGCAGACCATTTTAGAGAAAGCATTCTTGGAAAGAGCACGTACTGGTCTGTGATGGTCTGTGTCTCAGAGATTGGCTATGCTGCCGGGCAAATGGCGACAGGGATTCCCAGAAAGGATTGCACATATATGAGCCGCGGACAATATTTGGCTACGTAATGTTTAATTGACGGGATGCTCCTACCTCGTTTCCATTCCTGGACCTCGTCTTTCCTACCCCGTTCTGTGGGTTTTCCTACCTCGTTTTGCAACCTATTTCGTGTGTTTTCTCATCCAGGGGTACGCCCCAACGCTGCTTTTCACTTAACCAAATAAAAATATATATGCTAATCGTTCATCTATAATCATCACAAAGAGCAATAAAATCAAGCACAATAATAGGATTATATAAGACATCTAGTAAAGGGAGTATAAGACATCATATGCTATAATCATCGTCACCCCATCGAGCTTGGAGGTGAGTCGACACATCAATTCAAATCGCTGGCAACTAGCCATCTTTGAGGGACGGGTTCACGGCGGCCTCTTCCATCCAACCACCAGACCTGCACCGTTTTGAAAAAGCCCGGCAGGTCTGTCAAGATGGTAGGTAGACGTAGGTAGTTACCACGTAGTTCTGGCGTTTCTGATCGTGTTTCTGATCATGTCTGCTAACATCTTCTAACCATCCCAACATGGCGGCTGTCCTTTTATTCAAAAGGCACGGGAAGACCACCAACAAATAACGCTCTTCACAGTCATCATCGTTCCCAGTGCCTTGTTTGCCTTGACTTTGAGGGATGAGGGGGAGACCCAATGGCTGATGCCCTGCGAATCCGAGCCCATCCCAATTGGTGGGGGCACTCTGCGATTGACCCCTTGGGGACCTCTCCGAGGAACGCATCACTTCCATGAGCCTTGGATGGGGGGGTGTGGTGGGCTCCAGTAGCAAAGAAAATCATGTCCAGCCCCTCAAAACTCCTCAAAACCCCTCAAAACCCTGAACTTGTTTGGGGGAGAGTGCTGGAATTCTCATGTTGCTACAGCTCTCAATACGTAGCCGGCCGAAAATCTGCTGTTCATACGCCAAGACACTCCTGGTGCAACACGTGACAGGTGAAGTCCTGAGGAAAATTCCGGCGGTGGGCTGATCTGGGACTCCATCTGGGAAACCCTTGCATTACCAATGGATTGGTTTAAGGGAAAATCTACAGGCAACCCATGGGATTTTCCCATTGAATATGGAGTTTTCCTGTAAATTGACCCTTAAACCATTGATCCATATTGATCCATTGATACATGGCCTTATTGTGCCCACATTTTCCCAGGCACCCAAAAGTGGTGAAATCCACCTGGTTCACCTCAGCCCTGAACCCGGATCTCATCGCAGATCTGTCGCGACCTTTGAGCGCAAAAAGACCCTTCTTGGCAATGGAAGGATAGCATGATAAGATATTGATAGATATTTAAATAGCATCAGCATATGTGTGTGTTTTTTTAGAATGCACTATTTTACAAGAAGAATGTGTATCAGTCATCTATATATATATATGTGTGTGTGCGTATAAATATGTATAAGTATAGTTCATTAACATTCATTAACTATATATCGCTATGTATCTCCAAAGACTTGAGAAGCTTCGAAAGCTAAGAGCAAATCACGCTCCCGCCCTGACCGCTCTGACCGCTCTGAGCTTGAAACTCAGGTTCTTCTTTGGGAGCTTGGCTAACTTTGGTTGGGAACTGTGCCTGAAACATCTGCTTGTGCACCTCATCGGATGAGGCTTGGAAATCCCATGAAAATAAACCGCAAGGCCTTGGCTACGCTTGTGGCGTTTCAAGATATTGGAAATCATGTGATGAACCCAGCAATAAACTATCCCCAAAATTACCATCTATATAAGTATCCATCCTCAAATCGTACGGGTATTATTGGCTTTTCCGCATGTGTCGTACAATATCGTACAATATTGTCCATCAAGCCCTTGCTGGGTTGAATGCAACCATCTCTTTTCAGCTACCACTGTCGAACCGGGCCGAACCCCCGGCTAGGAGATGCTCTGAGCTCCCAGCAGATCTTTGGAATACCTTCGCCAAAGCCTGGGCGACAATACAACTCACTCTGCTGATCTACTGGCTGGAGTGTACTAACTCACCAACCTGAAAATAGGGATGATTCCCCGAATCCGATTCCCATCATTCCAGTGACGTAACACGACGGGTTTGGTCATGATCAGCTGGCTGAACCGCCTGCACGTTGTAGAGCACCCGATCCAGCAGCAATTCAGCGACGTCCAAACAGTCAAAGTCACTCTCACCTTTCGCAGCATTCTTCCTGCGCTGCATGGCTGGACGTGAACCCAGGATTTCAACAAATGGATGTGAAATTTCAGGCTTCAAACTATTAACAAGTTCTGTTTCTGGCATTGCTGGGTGTGCCATGATGCACTCTCTCTCTCTCTCTCTCTAAAGGCGGCCATGATGTACTAGACTTCTGAGTTTATAGTACAAACACATCAAGGCAGCATTTCAGGGCCCGAAATCCATCCTGTTCATGTGATTCTCAAAGACCCGCTTTCGGATCTTGAGCACCACCAAGCCTCACAAGTGGCATGCTTGCAGGTAGCCAGTTGGACACATGGCTTGTCAATTAACCCGACCTCCCAGACCTCTTGTGACCCCATGTCCCCCACTTCCAGCTGGCTGATGCTGGCTGGCTTCTCTGGGGCTTTCCACCAGGTCAGGCCGCCCCTGAGTCCCACACTAAAGGCTGGCGTCTGCAAAGCTTCCAAGACGCTCGCCAGAATGTTCCCCAACACCTTGGATGTCGGGTGCGGCCAACGATCTGAAGGCCAACTGGGAAACATCTTCAAGCGGGGATGAATAATTCGAGAATAAGTTGAAACCACCTGCCAAATGGCTGGGACGCAACATTCTCGACCCAACAAGATGGAATCACTGAGAATCAGCCATTCAAAGCCAAAAATCTTGGGACCAGCGGCAGTTACCAATGTCTACCATGCGTTGATCCCACCATGCCTCACCCCCGGTGTAGCGATCCTCAGCACCCCAACCAATGAAGCGATCGGAGTGCAGATCTTTGAACTGAGCGCGGGTCAAGGGCGCCGCAGGTGGTACAAACTGGCAAACGAACGTGGTGTAATTAGAGGATGAGAAAAAAACATGTGTATATACTGTATATATATATATATTAAGTATAGATGTGTGGGATGCATATGTGTATGTGTATATATATATATATAGGATTTAAACCATCGGTTTCTCGAGGGAAGCTGGCTCAACGTTCACTCTGAAATCGACAAAGAAAGTTGACGTGTTTCAAGCCTTTTTTGACGTGAATTCCGAGAAAGGGGAGCGGGACATATTATAAAAAATATATAAAATATTGATGTTACATATTTTACATGTACCTATTTGATCCTATTTGATTTACTGAAATTCCGAGACTGTCTGAATGGTGAGGGGACGAAAAAATGGCCCAGTTTTGGGCCCCCCAAACTCGCGTGAATCGAGGCCTTTGACCTGGCAAATGTTCAAGCGTTCAAGCGAAAAAATATCTGGGAAAGCTGCAGCTGTGTCAATTATCTGAGATGATTGAGATGTCTAAGTGGAATGCAACCTGAGGCAAATCCATCCAAATCCATCCCAGACCCCCTTAGATAGATAAGTGACTGCAGGAGAATGGCGCAAAGACTTGAAGCAGGACCTTGGTGCCACGGCGCTGATTCTCCTAGTCCTCTGCTCAACTACTGAAGTCTCACCTCCATTCCCCACCGTCTAATTCCTGGGTCATCTTCACGAGGCAAATAATGTGTAGTATCATCATCATCATCACCATCATCATCACCATTATCATCACCATCATCATCATCAACAACCTTCTCTAACCTCAAACAATCTTAAACAAATAACAACATACTAATAATAATAAAAAGAATGGCAACAACAATAATAATGCAAAAACAACTGTAATAACATGTAATAACAATATATAAAACTAAGAAAACCAGCTCATGTCCCAAGATGTCCATTTCGGCAGGTCTCCCCGACACCAGTAGCATCTTGAAGTCCTTGGCTCGTTCGTCCTGGAAGATCTGGCTGACCTCGGCTTTTTTTCACCAGCCAGTGGTTCAACCGAACTGGGAGATACCCGGCAATTTCACTGTGATAAATGTGTTAAATTGTGATAAAATGTGATAAATGTGACACATATGGCCCATTTATAGTGGATTTACCCATTGAAAATGGTGATTGTCCATAGTTGTGTTAAATTTTCATAAACCATCATGATGTGTGTGTAAATAACCATCATAAACCATCATAAATTAAATCATAAACACCATCAATAAACCCCATCATAACTTAGATAATAGTTCCGTAAACCAGTATGATATGTGTGTTAAATAGTTCTATGACTATAATCCATCATAGCAAATCATAACCATGACTATGAATTATTCAATTATTCAATAGATAATTATAAATGATTAATCATAAATCATCATAACCATGATTATGATAAATGTGTTAAATGATAAATAACAAATAAATATAAATGATTACAAACCATCATAACCCTGATAATCCAGTGATCATAATGGTGTATGGTAATGGGAATGTCAAATATATCTTCTGAAGTCTCAGCGTGTTTTGATCAACGTTCCTGGGCTATCTTTCTGTGCGAAACTGTCAAATGTGGCTTGTGGCTGTCAGGATGTGGCGGAAAAAAAGCGAGACCTAGAGGCACTCTACTCATCTGCTCTCCTCTCCTCTACTCTAATTTTCTCTGCTCTACTCTATTCTTCTTTACTCTACTCTTCTCCACTCTGCTTTACCCATCTCTACTCTATTCTACTCTTCTCTACTCTACCCTGAATGTCCGTAACAATGGAGCGAGGTGCGAGGAATGGGACACACTTCCTAGTCCAGACCATTGTGCCAATGGGATTTCGGTCCTAGACCTCAAGCCTTCAACATAGGATGATGTACAACAGGGATGTGGGGCGACTTTCCAAGAACAGACAGGGTCTAATAGTCTAATAGTCATACCCTGTACCCTCTGGTGAACTAACATAGCAATGGAAAATCACCATTCTTCATGGGAAAATCCACTATAAATGGCCATTTTCCATTGCTATGTTAGTTCACCAAAGGGTATGACCTGTATGTCCTGTGGCCCTCCCATTAGACGACATGCATTAAACAATTTACCTCAGCCTGTGGGGAAATGCCGCAACTGAGGGACAAAGTTCCTGATGAAGTTGGGGATGCATCCAGCGTGAACATCCTGGCTGAGAGCCGGCGCGGCCGCTACTGTTCCAGTTGGGTCAACTGGGAGCCTTTTCCAAGTTGCGGTGGAAATGTCCATGAATTCCATGAGTGAAATCCAATACATCCAATACTCTATCACCATTCTGGGTGTCTGCGAATCGCTGCGCTGCGGCAGGCTGCTTGGCTGGGCTCCTTCTCCCTTTCGCTTCCTCCCCTGCTTGCCTGGCCGCAACAGTCAGATCAACCTCAAAACATCTACGTTGAAAAAACAGCGGTTCTGGTGGGGTTGTGGGCATGGGCAATTTTATTGGGTGCCCAATTGGTAGTTTCATGGGTTGACAGTTACATACCTAAATGACCAACCCTGAAGCCATTTCAGCGAAGTTCAAGTGGCTGAAATTTAAAAGCAGCACCTCTACACAGCTTCGTTGGAAGGCGGACAGCTCATTTTGGAAGTTCAGGTATCGGTTCTTCTCAGTGCCTGTGCCCGAGTGATCTGACAGCAGGAATTCATCAAGTCGTGGTTGCAAAGATTCACAAAGGACTTCCAACAAATAGACCCGCGTAGGAGAAGCACAAGCTCATGGTCTATGATTTGTGTCAATTTCATGGGAAGCACAGTGAGTACGTGAAGAAGGTGAAACTGCTCTTTAGCAGCTAGTGTGAGAGGACCTTCCACAAGTCCCATGAACAAAGCGACAACGACAGAAACAGGAGTCCAGGAGTCCATCAAGATTCAGAATAAGGGCAAGCCATACATTATACTAATTACTGTAATTAGTACTATATCCCCACACATACTATATCCCATACATTTTACTAATTAGGAATTATACCTGTAACTAATCCATATTAGTCCCCACACATTCGTACTATTCTATACTAATTCTATTCTCCATCGCCATCCCGAAAGTTGAAGGCGAACGGCGAAGGCCCAAACGGAGCCATACTAATCAGTTCCTAATCCATACTAATTACACATTAATATATAGATATTAATATACATACATACATATATATATATATATTATTATATACTAATATATTAATAAATTAACAAACATATTAATAAATTAACAAATATATATACTAATGTATTAATACCTTACTCATCCCCCCAAAATGAAAAGGACCGAGAGATGCCCCTGTTTTCTCCCAGTCCTTGATGAGCTCCGCGTTCTGCGTTTTGCATCAGCTCCTGGCTGTGGTTAGGGCACACGCACACATGAATACAAGATATCCGCCGACCCCTGCCGTCAGCAGGGGGAGCGCGTCAGAGGAGGCCTTACTAGCAACAAGATGCCAGAAGGGGCGAAGAGTTTGCGCAGAACGAAAGCCGGCTCCAGAAGGACACGAGCAGGGTGGCAGTTGGCAATGTAGAAACGCGGGAAAAGTCAAGGTTTGGAGCTAGTTTCTAGTCGGCTCAGAAAGTGACGTTTGGCAGTCTGGGATACGGGCCGCGGGCCCAATCCGTCCTTCACTGCCATGGTGTTTTAGCCCTGCGACACGGTCCTTGGACTCCAGCTTGGACCGAAGCGGTGCAGAACGAAAGCCGGCTCCAGGAGGACACGAGCAGGGTGGCAGTTGGCAGTGCAGAAACGCAGGAAAAGTCAAGGTTTGGAGCTAGTTTCTAGTCGGTTCAGAAAGTGACGTTTGGCAGTCTGGGATACGGGCCGCGGGCCCAATCCGTCCTTCACTGCCATGGTGTTTTAGCCCTGCGACACGGTCCTTGGACTCCAGCTTGGACCGAAGCGGTGCAGAACGAAGGCCGGCTCCAGGAGGACACGAGCAGGGTGGCAGTTGGCAATGCAGAAACGCAGGAAAAATCAAGGTTTGGAGCTAGTTTCTAGTCGGTTCAGAAAGTGACGTTTGGCAGTCTGGGATACGGGCCGCGGGCCCAATCCGTGCTTCTCTGCCATGGTGTTTTAGCCCTGCGACACGGTCCTTGGACTCCAGCTTGGACGAAGCGGTGCAGAACAAAGGCCGGCTCCAGGAGGACACGAGCAGGGTGGCAGTTGGCAGTGCAGAAACGCAGGAAAAGTCAAGGTTTGGAGCTAGTTTCTAATCGGTTCAGAAAGTGACGTTTGGCAGTCTGGGATACGGGCCGCGGGCCCAATCCGTCCTTCACTGCCATGGTGTTTTAGCCCTGCGACACGGTCCTTGGACTCCAGCTTGGACTGAAGCGGTGCAGAACGAAAGCCGGCTCCAGGAGGACACGAGCAGGGTGGCAGTTGGCAGTGCAGAAACGCAAGAAAAGTCAAGGTTTGGAGCTAGTTTCTAGTCGGTTCAGAAAGTGACGTTTGGCAGTCTGGGATACGGGCCGCAGGCCCAATCCGTCCTTCACTGCCATGGTGTTTTAGCCCTGCGACACGTCCTTGGACTCCAGCTTGGACCGAAGCGGTGTAGAACGAAAGCCGGCTACAGGAGGACACGAGCAGGGTGGCAGTTGGCAGTGCAGAAACGTAGGAAAAGTCAAGGTTTGGAGCTAGTTTCTAGTCGGTTCAGAAAGTGACGTTTGGCAGTCTGGGATACGGGCCGCGGGCCCAATCCGTCCTTCACTGCCATGGTGTTTTAGCCCTGCGACACGGTCCTTGGACTCCAGCTTCCAGCTTGGACCGAAGCGGTGCAGAACGAAGGCCGGCTCCAGGAGGACACGAGCAGGGTCGCAGTTGGCAGTGCAGAAACGCAGGAAAAGTCAAGGTTTGGAGCTAGTTTCTAGTCGGTTCAGAAAGTGACGTTTGGCAGTCTGGGATACGGGCCGCGGGCCCAATCCGTCCTTCACTGCCATGGTGTTTTTAGCCCTGCGACACGGTCCTTGGACTCCAGCTTGGACCGAAGCGGTGCAGAACGAAAGCCGGCTCCAGGAGGACACGAGCAGGGTGGCAGTTGGCAGTGCAGAAACGCAGGAAAAGTCAAGGTTTGGAGCTAGTTTTTAGTCGGTTCAGAAAGTGACGTTTGGCAGTCTGGGATACGGGCCGCGGGCCCAATCCGTCCTTCACTGCCATGGTGTTTTAGCCCTGCGACACGGTCCTTGGACTCCAGCTTGGACCGAAGCGGTGCAGAACGAAAGCCGGCGCCAGGAGGACGCGAGCAGGGTGGCAGTTGGCAGTGCAGAAACGCAGGTAAAGTCAAGGTTTGGAGCTAGTTTCTAATCGGTTCAGAAAGTGACGTTTGGCAGTCTGGGATACGGGCCGCGGGCCCAATCCGTCCTTCACTGCCATGGTGTTTTAGCCCTGCGACACGGTCCTTGGACTCCAGCTTGGACCGAAGCGGTGCAGAACGAAAGCCGGCTCCAGGAGGACAGGAGCAGGGTGGCAGTTGGGAATGCAGAAACGCAGGAAAAGTCAAGGTTTGGAGCTAGTTTCTAGTCGGTTCGGAAAGTGACGTTTGGCAGTCTAGGATACGGGCCGCAGGCCCAATCCGTCCTTCACTGCCATGGTGTTTTAGCCCTGCGACACGGTCCTTGGACTCCAGCTTGGACCGAAGCGGTGCAGAACGAAAGCCGGCTCCAGGAGGACCCGA